AAGTCAGGGCATTATATCAGTTACACAGAAGGCATTAAAAATATATACACGAATGTAATACTGATTTATTTTTACTAAAATCATTTTTTAAATTACAACAAAAATGTGCACCAATACAAGACAGTCACAAGACATTAAATTTAAATGCCGTTGGAAATGCACAATCAATTTTATTAAAATATTCTTACGTAGGGCAGTAACAGACACGCTTGGCACGTAATTATAATATTACAAATAAATGAATGCATACCTTTTGACCTGGAACAATGACACTCCGTCGATGCGGACACCACGCACAGCCCACTTGCACTCGGGGTCAACACACACAACATGCAAAACATTCGGACAAGATGTCTTCGTTCTATACTGAAAGAAGTTGGTAATCGCATACATCTTTAAGTGAAAATCAAGTTCCTTCTTACTTCCATAGATGCTATTCAATGCAATGTGTGTGGGTTCAGAATGGTTGAGAACATGCATATTATGAATCTCTTCATCAACCTGAGAATTTAAGCTCATAATTTCAGCACTCGAAATATGGTCAAATTCAATGTCCAGACAAATATTGTGACTGAAATTATTGTCTTGTTCACTAAAGTCACCAAACTCTTCCGGATTACTCGGGTGGTTAATTCCACTTGAATTGTGGATATCATCACATACTGTGGTGCTTTGTTCCTCTCCAGTCGTAGAATCACATACAAATTCAACACACAACGGCATTTGCATCGGGTCCTTTTGAAAACTCTTCAATTGTAAATAAAAGAGTAGACTAACATCATCACATACATTGACGGGAGGTGGGCATGAAGCATAAACGTATGAGATTTTCATATTCTTCCCGGCATAACTGTCACCAATAACAGCGCAAACACGAGAACATAGAGAATTGTACGTACAGTTTGAAGGTATAGTTAAACCGGCAACATGAATACTAGAGAACAAAGTATTTGAGATCCATTGGCCATCATATTTAATCATAATCCACATTTCCGGGGAACTTACGAGGATGGAATCCATGAGTGACTTCAATCGAAGAATGGCCGTGAATTGATGGAGTAGAGTCGGATTAAGCAAAAAAGGAATAGCAACGTTCGTTGAAGGAGAACGTTTAATGATAGGTGAGGGATATGCAGCAACAATTATGTAAAGACTTACCTTCTATTAATTTTTCTAATAATTGATTCCTTAATTTTAGGAGATTGAGAACTAAGTGATTGAAACCTATCGTGACTCCATACGGTTGATTAATGCGCCAGTTATGCATAACGGTTACAACTTAGAGACATGAAGTTACGTGTTTTCCTGGAATTCAATAAACCTCATTAATTAAATGGAATGAGGGCAATTGTGGGTTTAAAATGAAAATATAAAAACACGTGCATGGGCAAGAGACATGCGACTCATAGAATAGGAATAAAAGTGGATGTAGTCATAGATAGGGAAAGACATGCTCTTTTAGTCATACTATAGGGAATTTTCTCTTCCATATTTTCATTGAAACATACTACGTATATGATAACATGTTATTACATATTAAAATATTCTGAAATATTTGGTATTAACTGCATATATGGGTAATACATTCATATAAGTATTGGTAAAGAATGATACAGATTGAAGAATTGATATCAATTCAATACAAATTTGAAAGTATTGGAAGCAATTATGTTAATTCGAAGTTGGAAAGGTGCGTACAAGTAAACCACTCTCCATACTTAAAATCACTCTTATGTGGGAGGTATTGAATTCAAGTAATTAGGGAGCTAGCTAGCTGAGTCCTCATCAAGCTAACTCAATTAGTCAAATATGGTGGTGTTTGATTAATCAGTAATGATACTCTTAATCAATGAATTAAGAACAAGATCGAGCTTATGTGATATGTGAATGGAACGGATTGCTCTAATAACTCAGATTTACATCATTGGACACAAAAAATATTCTCGGTACACACTTTTTGATGTACACACTTTTACACACTGTTTGTGTAGGTTTTTTTTGTCTGTACGTACAGGCAAAATGTATTTTGACGAAAACACATTTCGTTTGTACGCCGTGAAAAAAATTCTACAATAACAGTGTGTAAAAGTGTACACCAAAAAGTGTACTCCAAACCCAACTCAACACATATAGGTTAAACAAAAATTGCTGAAACCCAAACATTATTGTACTACTCCGCATAGTCCAACTCCGGAGTATTTCTTCTTTTATTATTTTTAACTTTCATTCAATTATTCAAAGATAAGCTCTTAAAGCGACCTCATCGTTCTCTTTTAAATGGGGACCATATATAACAAAGCATCATTCCTTGTTTAATTTGGTAACAATTTAACACACATAACAAAAGTTATCTGGTAAAGTAAAAGTAATAATATTACCAATTTTCGCACAAAACGCACAAGCAATTCAAAGATGAGGATGGATGCATGCGTTTGGGTGGAAAGGTTTCAGATTTTGTAGGTGAAGTTATATTAAGAAAGAAAACATATACACCTCAACCTACCTAGTTGAGGAGCTTTTGAGTTTTACAACTTGAAATAGTAACCTATGTAGTGTTGTAAGTTGTAACCTATATGTATATGTGGGGAATTAAATTAACGCTCGCTACTTGAGAATATGGCCAACCTAATATCAATAGGATTTTGTACGTATAGTTCTCTTTATCCTCCCATTATATTTTTACATACAGAAAGACGGGATTTGGAACTCGGTCGGAATATATACTCAAAATCTGACTAGGTTATGTACGGCTATTTAATACGGAGTAAAAAATAGGTGACAACTCCGGTACCCATTTAAAAATGGGGTACCGTACCTACCACTCACTTGATTGGTTCAAATCATTACATTATTTTTAATTTAGATTTAAATAATTCAACTACATCATTCTGATTGGTCCATGTGGACAAAGGTATGGTACCTTAAAGGTACCATAGAATCTACCTAAAAAATATCGTAGAGGATTCGAGCAATAAATAACTAAACTGCAAAACTAAAAAATATAGGTGTACATTCCTTAGCAATAAAAAGTACTAGTACTCCATAGTCATTAATGAGAAATAATTTATACTATAGTCTACTACGTCGTAGGCCTCAACTCCTAAGCAATTACAGTATGAATTATGTCCTTATGGCTTATAAACTACGGCAATTACTCCGTATAATAAGGAAATTTGCGGTTGTTATAAAGTGGGATCATCCCACAGTGAGCATCCTACTCCCACATATAAAATGATGTCGTTTAGGTTTAATTTAACAAAATTCGCGTGAACAGTATTCTTACTTTTGTCTATTTTTTTTCATGGTGTAAATCCTTTGTTTGATATGTAACTCACGTTATTATAAAATGTAAATCCAGTGTTTTCAAATGTAACTCACGCGCTGGAGTATGTAACTTATTTTACTCATTTTTTTGAAATAGTAACTTGTTTTACTCCCTCAACTTATTATACCAGTACTTGAAATATAGTTTTATAAAATTATGTTTATAAAAATCAATCTATATTTTTTATTTCTATAAAATGTTTTTTTATAAAAAAAAATCTTTGAATAGAAGGAGCTTATTTTGTTGCATTATATTGTTGTGCAACTCGCATTATGAAAAATGTAAATCACATGTAAGTGTGATGTAACTTGCTGAGGAAAGTTGACATGTAACTCACATTCATATATATGTAACTTGAGATAAATGGAAATGCAAACCCTTTTAATAAAAATGTAACTTTTCTTAGATACCCATGGATGACCATCCCCTGCATAAACTTGAACAAAAAAACTTGAACAAATCTGAACCCAATCTCCTACAGAAACCCAATCCCCAACTTTAGGAGCCATAATTTCAGATCTTCATCCCTATGTCAACCTAACAGGCCCCTTACCAGCTCCAAGAGATGCCCAATTCAGCCTGAAACTTGGCCCAGGGCCTTGTGAATGTGAGCTTTGACCAGAGAGTGAATTCAGCGATCTCTTCTTGCTTGGAAAAGTATGATGACTCCGTTTTTCATATGGGGCAGTCCTCGGAATCGTTGAGGTTTGGGGTTTATGGAGGATTGAACTTCAAAGCTTTTCTGCGGGGAATAGTATTGGGGATTTGAAATAATTCAGTCAGACTGAATTTTATTAATCGAAACGGCACCGTTTGGGATTGGCACACCTTGCGCATGGTGAGCCGATCCCGCGGTATAATTTGCGGGAAATTTGCTATATACTTTGTATAATACACACTATTTACTTATTAAGTAATCTCTAGCAATAAAATATAATTCCTTCGACCCGTTATGATTGTCTCATTTTATTTTTTTGAAACATTCCATTAAAATGATTTCATATCAAATTTGGTAGAGTTTGTGTGACTTTAAATCATTTTTATTTTAATCATATACTCCATAAAATTTAATCGGATACATTTAGTATCAGATAAAATTCTTATCGGATAAATTTAATCAAACAAAACTAACTCCTGCCTACAAATATCTATGCATCCGGCTTGGTAGAACAATATTAAAATTTTATTAGATAAAATTTATTCAACTGAAATTAATCTGATAAAAATTAATCAGATAAAATTTAATCACATACAAAAATTTTCAGAGAAAAAAAATTCAAAATTGAATTTCATTTGATAAATGTATTTCTCAACTACTTCCCGATCAATCACCTTGTGGTTCGATGACATCACCGTGACACACCCAAAGAGAAGGTCACATGTTGCCAACTCATCTCAATCAAGGATGTTGCTATTTACAGAACAGATATTATAAGGAAAGAGAAAGGGCAACAAAAAAAAACTACTCCCTAATACGGATGAGTTAATTAAAACATAAAATAAAAGTACCGAATTATCTTTAATTTGAAAGAATATAAACACGAGTATATTTAAAATCTCCACTAGGGTTTTACATTTAAATAAAAGTAGAGTATATTTAAAATGTGGTTCCTATAATATAAAAATCTAAAGTATAAATAAAACACCTAATCACAATCATTTAGAATCTGCATTGGTGGAGTATAAAAATTACAAATGAGCTGTCGGAATCTTGAGTTCCGACCAGTAGCTTTTATTAAAAAGCATATGTATGTAACTCCGACAGAAGTATTTCCCCGAAACCCTATAAATTTCCACCTAAATTTGCCATCCAAACGCCAAAGTCCCTTAGTTTTAGAAATCACTTCGGGTGTGTAGCTGTTTCACTCCGGCGAGATCAAGGGTGGTGCCGGCTTGCCAGTGAGGTGCAGCGTCGAGTGCTACAAGTTCAGGATCACCCGACACCAACACCGCCTCCTCTCCACCACAAAGAAACAGTCACCGTCACTCAGTTTTGCTGGGGGAGGTGCATGTCACCACACTCATAGCCTCTCTGGGATGGTAAGTACGTTCATTTATGATCAAAACACATACGTGACGGTCGAAATACTATGCGTAAATTCAACCTCACTTTATTTTTGTCCATGTCATCAATGTATGGTGGACTCTACACATGAAATTTCGATCGTCATGTAGAATTTCATTCATTTAACAGTTATGATATCAAAATGCCTGCAATAATATGAATAATTTAGGTATCATTTTAACCCTTCATAAAGTATACGAAAACGATTATGGTGAAACATATGTTTGTTATGTTGGTGGATTGATTTAAATATATTTTAGCCTCCATTATGCTGAAATATATATTGGGACACCTCCGAAGTCATATTTGGTAGCACTGGATACAGGGAGTGTCGTGTTTTGGTTGTCGTGCGGTTGTCTCTAGGAGAAGTAAGTAATACAGTAGAGTTTGATTCAAATATTTTTATTGTAGTTTTTTCATGTGAAAAATAAGTACTAATATGATGTAGGCATTACATTTCATAAAATGGAAGGATCAATTCAATTTTTAATCAAAATTAAAAGAGGTGGCACAGTCGCACAACATAATGATAAAAAAATTAAACACGGAGAACAAAATTAATGGAAACACATTTTATTATATTTATATAGTATTTCTTATATTTACTCCTATTTATTTATTGGGAGATTTACCTAAATAGGAGTAAATAAAGGGACAATTGCAACAATAGGAGTTTAAAGTTTAAATTCCCAAAATAGGACTAACTCTTCCTATTCTACCCTTTCCTTTGTCCTTGATAATGGGATTTTTAAACAATCATTATAAAATATAAAAAAAATCAAAATAAAAAAATAAAAATCGTAAAAAATAATTAAAAAATATATAGACCTCAACCACCTTCCAGCACCGCCACCTCCGGTCACCGGAAAATATTGCCAAGTTGGGTAAAAAATGTCATCATGATGGCAATTTTGAAGAGAAAGCAAGAGAAAGTTGAATATTTTCAAAGAGTAAAAATGCCATCTTTATGGCAATTTCAGAGAAATGTGGCATTTTTTTACAAAAGATGGCATTTTTTTCCGGCAACCGGAGTCGGTGGTGCTGGGAGGTAGAGGACGCGTTGGCGGTGACCTACATATTTTTTAAATACTTTTTAGGTATTTTATTTTATTTTTTGGACTTTTTGAAATTTTTTAAATAATTTATTTATTATTTTTAATATTTTTTATATTTTTTCACGTTTTCATTATTATTTTATAAATATTTTATTATTTTTTATATTTTAATATAAAATAAAACTATGATTTTCTTATTAATAAAATAAATCTATTGGAAATTATAGGAAGGGGTAGAATGGGAAGAAGAAAAATATATTAGTCCTATTTTAGGAATAAAAGGATTGTACTCCTATTGTTGAATTTTGACTTATTTTACTCCTACTAAGAGCTAATACCCGTTATTTATTTTAAGCCTTGTGTAGAATTTGTACTTCTAATAATACTGTTCTTCAAAAGTGTGTTAAAAATAATTTGGAACACTGCAACTACCGTAGTACGTTCAAGTGCGAAGTCCCCTTAGACCAAGATTTATTCTTATTTTTCACTCATTTCCATTTGAAACCTACCATGCATATATGTGTGTGTGTGAGAATAGGAAAAGAATTTGAACATTTACAACTCGCGCTCTTCATCTACGAGTGAGGTTGTATTTTGCAACAACACTGATTGTGCGGGGCCGGCTAACGATGAGATGGAATGCTCGACATGGACCCCACACCATGCCCTTATGAGATTAATTACATGGCAACCAATACCTCATCCAAGGGAATTCTGGCAAATGATATTCTGTACCTTGAAACTTATAATAATGAAACTTGGCCTCTTCATGCGCCCATCATATTCGGGTACTGTTAAGTTTTTGTGTACACACATAGCTTTGACTATTACCTACCAATTAAAACAAAACAAAATAATACTTTCTGGGATCCAAAATAGTTTCCGGTTTTACTTGGACCAGATTATAAGAAAGTGAAAATAAAATGGAAACATATGATTGTGGTTGAATAAGAAAAAGGTAAATGAATGTTTAGAAATTTCTCTAAATACGACCAAAACTTAGCCAAAATGCACAAAGAGGACTACATGTGTTTTATTCTCAAAATATGACGTATTTGACCCTATTAAAAGTACAAAACATCCCCTATTAAGAGTGAATAGTTCTATTTTAGAAACAAAAAAACAATGATGGTCCTATATGTGCACCTTGTTTATGTTTTAATCTTATATGAGAAATTTTCTCATTAATGTTAGTCACACAAAACTTTCCAAAAAACTTGGGAACAATTTTTTGAGATGGCCCAAAAAGACGGTGAGAACAATTTTTTGAAAGGGGACGTATGTTGAGCGCGGCAACATGCAGTTAACGGGCTGCTTGGGCTGGGGCACCACGCTTTGGATTTACCCAATCAGTTGTCATCTGGAGGGGCAGGTTTGGTTCAATATTCCTTTTCTTTGTGTTTTGCAGCTGACGGCAATGGTCGAATTGCGTTTGGAGACAAAGGTGTCTCTGATAAGCTGCAAATGCCACTAGAAACTTCACACCAAGAGTGAGTACTATATGTAGTTAATTATTTATGGCGATAAGTGTATATGTGTGTCCCTTGGCTTATTATTTTACCGAACTTTGTAACTTAAAAATGGGGCGATTAAAGTTTGTATAAAGAAGACAGAAATTATAGTAACCACAAATTTTGAATTAGTGGACTACACTTGTTGCTAATTAATTTGATGCATATGTGATTTGATCAATTATGTTGTGAGCGGTGTGGTGCAGTCCAGGTTACATCATACGGATAGAAAAAATATGGGTGGAAAATAATCCGATTGCTGACCTTGCGTTTGTAGCCGGTTTGACTCCGACAACATAAGGTCAAACACGGCTACAAACGCAAGGTCAGCAATCGGATTATTTTCCACCCATATTTCTTCTATCCGTATGATGTAACCTGGACTGCACCACACCTCCCACAACATAATTGATCAAATCACATATGCATCAAATTAATTAGCAACAAGTGTACTCCACTAATTCAAAATTTGTATAATTTCTGTCTTTTTTATACAAACTTCAATTGCTCCATTTTTAAGTTATATGTTAGCAATCTATTATTATGTTGTGTACATAAGTTTCTTTTATGTAACGTTTTAGTCTTTGTATTAGACTAGGAAAGTACTTAGTCTTTGTATTAGACTAGGAAAGTAGATAGCATTTAATTTTTCTTGATTTTCTTTCCAAAAGCCACACATGGCTGGTACGTTTGGCCTGTATATATGTTAACGCATGTGCGTTTTGTGAGACAAGGAAATACAGAATAATTTCCCAAATATTCATATCTTATTCTTACCTTTTATCATGGTATCAGAACTTTGACTTGGGACCAATCAAGGTCGCTCGGACGACGTTGGCATGGCCGGAGAAACCAGCCGTAGTGGTGGAGACGGCCACTATGAAAACGTGGAACGAAGGAAAATTAATGATCCTTCATCTCCCTATTTTCTCTCAAGCTCGGATCACCCCGGCATGGTGATATGCGCTGTTGTTCTCAAAGGGGAGAATAACTATCGTGAATGGAGTACGGCCATGAAAAACGCATTTCGTGCTAAAAGGAAGATAGGGTTTCTTGACGGATCCATTGAACGACCTCTAAATGCACCGAGGGATCTTGAAGATTGGTTAACCGTCAATTCCATGGCGGTGGGATGGATTATGACTTCTGTGGATTCGAGTTTGAGAACCAATCTCGCTTACATGGAAAGCGTGCACGATCTCTGGACAGATTTGGAGACACGCCTTTCGGTTGGTGATGCTATGAGAACTCATGAGTTAAAAGAACTCATTCGAAATTGCAGGCATCATGGTCAAACGATTACGTCTTATTTCGGGCAACTGAGAGCGTTGTGGGAAGAATATGATGGCGTACGAAACTTTCCCCAGTGCAAGTGCAATGGATGCACGTGTGATCTCAAGAAACTTTTTCTTAAACATGTGGAGTCGGAGAAAATACATGACTTTCTAATGGGTCTTGACCGAGAGACGTATGGAACTTTGAGGTCCAACATATTGGGCACTGATGACTTGCCTTCGCTGACTAAAGTATATCACTTGGTGGTGCAAGAAGAACGGCACCAAAATTTGACACGAGGAAACGAGGACAAACCTGAGGCAGTCGTGTTTGCGGCGCGTTCCGGACCTGCAGCCGGTAGGGAAGACCGGGTGAAGTGCACCTTCTGCCACAAGACGGGTCATGAAATTGAGAACTGCTTCCGACGGACCGGAGTTTACCCAGACTGGTGGCACGACAAACTGGGACAATCAGGAACTGGAACGAGCCGTGGAGGAAGAGGACGGACTGGACCAAGCCGTGGAGGACCTGGACGCGGAAATTCTGGACAGAGTGCGGGACGTGGTGGCGTGCAAGCCATGCACGTGGGAGAGTATCAGCCCGAGAGTCAGATAATGCAGGGAGGAAAAGAGATAACTCTGCATAAACCTGGCTTCACCGACGAACAGTGGCAAACGTTTATCAAGCTGATGGAGAACTGTAAGGCCACAAATTCGGAAGAAAAACTCTCAGGTACACAGATTCCTAACGAATGGATACTCGACTCGGGTGCCTCGTATCACATGACCGGGAATAACAACATACTGACAAAGATAATACGAATAACGCCGGTGGCGGTGACGATGGCCAATGGTGATATTACCAAAGCAACCGGGGTCTATTATTTCCGGGGTCTGGAACGAGCACAGGCATTTGCTGTAGAAGGTCCGAATTTGGGAATTTTGTGGCATGCAAGGTTGGGACACCCATCAATAAAAGTTATGCATTCGCTTGGTTATTTGAGTAAACCTTTATTAAATTATGTTTAAATTATGTTCAGAATAAAACGTGTGATGCCTGCATGAGAGGCAAACAAACGCGTGATGGTTTTGTTACTAGTAGTGCTAGAGCTGTTGAACTTTTTGAATTGATACATTGTGATATTTGGGGTCCATACCGTGTTGTGTCTTCGTGTGGAGCACGTTATTTCTTGACCGTGGTAGATGATTTTTCTAGGGCTGTGTGGGTGCACCTGATGAAAGAAAAAAGTGAAGTAAAAATTATTCTCAAACAATTTTTTGCCATGGTTGATAGACAATTTAACAAAAATGTAAAGGTGGTACGAAGTGACAATGGCAAAGAATTTGTAGGACTCCAAGAATATTTTCGGAACAGTGGGATAATTTTTCAAACATCTTGTGTTTACACCCCTCAACAGAATGGAAGAGTGGAACGGAAACATAGACACATTTTAGAAATGGCCAGGACCTTGCGTTTCCATGCGAATTTACCTATCAATTTTTGGGGGGAATGTGTTCTTGCTGCAGGATATTTAATAAACCGGTTACCTACGCCCGTGATAGGTAATAAAAGTCCCTATGAGTTGCTATATAACAAATTGCCATTATATAGTCAACTACGTGTTTTTGGTTGCCTATGCTATGCCCATGCATCGAAAACCGGAGGTGATAAATTTGCACCTAGAGGCGTGAAGTGTGTGTTCTTGGGTAATGCATATTCTCAAAAGGGTTGGAAAGTTTATGATCTACAAAACAAACGTCACTTCATCTCTCGTGATATCAAATTTATTGAACACGAATTCCCTTTTCGGGTTGAGTGGTATGCTCCAGAAAGTAAGGAAGATGGTGGAGTTAATCTGCCTGCATGGGAATCTCACGTGCATGGAGATAACGAAGTTGACACGGATCAAATATGTGAAGCAACTGATGCATGTGACAGTGCAGCTCGAACGGGCAGTGAGGAAACTGATGGGACCTCACAACACGCGGCGAATTCACAAGCATCCTTGACCGGTAGTTCTGATGCGATGGCTGAGAATAATCCGGATAATCATGCCCATGTGACCACTCCTGGACAGAACCGAAGAAGTGATCGTCCACGAAAAACTCCTGCATGGCATAACGATTATGAGGTACAAATGCACACGGTTACAATAAACTCTCACCCCGTCGCTACGCCTACCCTCACGCCCGAATCAGGTACTCCTTATTCACTAACTCATTATATAAAATATAATCATTTTTCGGTTCCGCACCGAGCTTTCCTTGCAGCTATAAGCATGACCAAGGAACCCAACAGCTTTGGAGAGGCAGTACGAGACCCACGCTGGAGGGAAGCTATGACCCGTGAAATTCAAGCACTTGAACGCACCAGGACTTGGGAGATCCGTGATTTGTCACCCGGAAAAAGGGCTATTTATTGTAAATGGGTGTACAAAATCAAATACAAAAGTGACGGGTCGGTGGAACGTTATAAAGCTCGTCTTGTTGTCTGTGGGAACCGACAGGTACAGGGTATTGATTATAATGAGACTTTTGCTCCAGTAGCTAAAATGGTGACGGTGCGTACCATATTAGCGGTTGCGGCCTCTTGTCATTGGGAGCTACATCAGATGGATGTAGATAATGCCTTTCTTCATGGTGATCTACACGAGGAAGTGTACATGCACCTTCCACCAGGATACTCTGCATCGTCCCCTGGAAAGGTGTGTCGCTTGCTCCGATCTCTTTATGGGCTGCGTCAGGCACCCCGATGCTGGTTCTCTAAACTGAGTACCTCCTTGCGGGGGTATGGCTTTACACAGTCGCATGCAGACTACTCTTTGTTCACCTTGCGCAGAGATCGACGAATCATGTGTGTGCTCATATATGTCGATGACTTGCTAATTACTGGGAATGATCGTGACATGATAAAACAGTTTAAAACATATCTGGCCGAAACATTTCCTGTCAAGGACTTGGGTGTCATGAAATATTTTCTTGGCATTGAAGTCGCGAGAAATCCCACAGGCATTTACCTCTGTCAACGAAAGTATGTACTTGATATTTTGACCGAGACTGGGATGACAAGTTGCAAGCCAGTCACCTTTCCTATGGTACAAAACCATCGCTTACAGTCTGATTCTGGTCCTCACTTTTCCGATCCTGAACGCTATCGCAGGCTGGTTGGAAAACTTATTTATCTGACTTTGACCCGACCTGACATTTGCTATTCAGTGCATATTCTCTCACAATTTATGCAACACCCCAGGCTGGCTCATTGGGAGGCTGTGCTTCGGGTTCTCCGATACCTCAAGGGCAGTCCGGGACAGGGTATATTACTACGCTCCGATTCGTCTCTCTCTCTGACTGGTCATTGCGATGCTGACTGGGCAAGTTGTCCAGTTACTCGTCGCTCGGTCACTGGATATTTTGTATCTCTCGGATTCTCTCCGATTTCATGGCGTACCAAAAAGCAAGCCACTGTCTCCCGATCCTCTGCAGAAGCCGAGTATCGATCCATGGCATCCTTGACTTGTGAACTTATTTGGCTCCGAAACCTCCTTCGCTCGTTGGGTGTGACACACGCCGGTCCGGTCCATCTCTACTGTGACAATCAAGCCGCACTGCACATTGCCTCAAATCCGGTATTTCATGAGCGTACCAAACACATCGAGCTTGATTGTCATTTTATACGTGATCACATTCAAGCTGGGACCATTGCCCCGGCCTACACACCTACCACCGAGCAACCTGCAGACTTACTCACTAAAGCACTTGGCGCTCAACAATTCTCTTATTTACTCCACAAGATGGGCATTTTCGATCCCCATGCTCCATCTTGAGGGGGGTGTTAGCAATCTATTATTATGTTGTGTACATAAGTTTCTTTTATGTAACGTTTTAGTCTTTGTATTAGACTAGGAAAGTACTTAGTCTTTGTATTAGACTAGGAAAGTAGATAGCATTTAATTTTTCTTGATTTTCTTTCCAAAAGCCACGCATGGCTGGTACGTTTGGCCTGTATATATGTTAACGCATGTGCGTTTTGTGAGACAAGGAAATACAGAATAATTTCCCAAATATTCATATCTTATTCTTACCTTTTATCATTATAATAAAGCTCGGTAAAATAACAAGCCAAGGGACACACATATACACTTAGCCCCATAAATAATTAGATACGTATAGTACTCACTTTTGGTGTGAAGTTTGTAGTGACATTTGCAGCTGAACAGAGATACTTTTGTTCCCAAACGCAATTAGGCCATTGCCGTCAGCTGCAAAACACAAAGAAAAGGAATACCGAACCAACCCTACCCCGGCCTGCAGATGATAACTGATTGGGTACATCCAAAGCGTCGTGCCCCAGCCCAATCAGCCCGTTAACTGCTGCCATGCTCAAAATATATAACTCCCCTTTCTACTTCTCCACACATATATATAGTTTTTTGATCAAGTATATATGTATAAACGATGTAATTAATTTAAAACTATATATTGGTTAGCTAGCCAATCAGCCGTGTAATTAGTTACCTGTCTGTGTTACTCCCTCCACCCCGCAAAATTATTCTCACCGTCTTTTTGGGCCATCTCAAAAAATTGTTCCCAAATTTTTAAAAAAGTTTTGTGTGACTAACATTCATGAAAAAAAACTGTACTAGTATAAGACTAAGACAAACAAAGTGCACATAAGGACCATCATTCTTTTTTTTTTGTTTCTAAAATTGAACTATTCACTCTTAATAGGGCATGTTTTGTACTTTTAATAGGATCAAATAAGTCATTTTTTGAGAATAAAATACATGTAGTCCTCTTTGTGCATGTTGGCTGAGTTTTGGTCCTATTTAGAGAAATTTCTAAACATTCATATACCTTTTTCTTATTCAACCACAATCATACGTTTCCATTTTATTTTCACTTTCTTATAATCTGGTCCAAGTAAAACCGGAAACTATTTTCGGGCCGGAGAAAATATTATTTTGTTTTTTTAATTGGTAGGTAATAGTCAAAGCTGTGTACGTGTACACAAAAACTTAACAGTACCTGAATATGACGAGCGCATGAACAAGCCAAGTTTCATTATCATAAGTTTCAAGGTACACAATATCCTTCACCAGGATTCCCTTGGATGAGGTATTGGGAGCCATGTAATTAATCTCATAAGGGCATGGTGTGGGGTCCATGGTCGAGCATTCCATCTCATCGTTAGCCGGCCCCGCACAATCAGGGCTGTTGCAAAATACAACCTCACTCGTAGATGAAGAGCGCGGGTTGTAAATGTTCAGATTCTTTTCCTATTTCTATATATACACACACACATATATCAATATATGCATGGTAGGTTTCAAATGGAAATGGGTGAAAAATAAGAACAATATTATTACAAGTACAAATTTTACACAAGGCTTAAAATAAATAAATAGGAGTAAATATAAGAAATACTAGTATTTCTTATATTTATATAGTACTATATAAATAAAATAAAATGTATTTCTATTGCATGTAATTGTACGCGCGCGCATACGTAGTACTACTATACGTGTATTATATTTCCACTTTTCTCGAATGTTTAGGTTTTCAGAAGAACACCTTTTCACTGAAGGGATCTCTGCCCCTAGATATATATGGAGTGCTTTATTTTTCACATGAAAAAACTACAATAAAAATATTTGAATCAAACTCCACTGTATTACTTACTTCTCCCGTAGATGTTGTGAGGGTGCGTGCACAGTCGAGACAACCGCACGGCAACCAAAACACGACACTCCCCGTATCCAGTGCTACCAAATATGACTTCGGAGGTGTCCCAATATGTATTTCAGAATAATGGAGGCTAAAATATATTTAAATCAATCCACCAACGTAACAAACATATGTTTCACCATAATCGTTTTCTTATAATTTATGAACGAATGTACTTACCATCCCAGAGAAGCTATGAGTGTGGTGACACCGCCCCCAGCAAAACTGAGTGACGGCGACCGTTTCTTTGTGGTGGAAAGGAGGCGGTGTTGGTCTCGGGCGATCCAGAGTTTGTAATACTCGGCGGTTCCCCTTTGTGGCAAGCCGGCACCACCCTTGATCTCATCGGAGTGGTACACATTATACGTATGCTTCATACAATCATACCCATAACATATGAAAATTGTAATGAGTGGATAAAAAGAACCAAAGTAAATCCTATTGATATCATTAGTTTGGCCATATTCTCAATTAGTGAGCTAGCGCTGGCCGGTGATGTTCCCTGGATAATCGATTTCAATTCCTCAACTATTTTATGTTGTGAGCTAGGTAGCTGGTTGAGAGTATATATATATATAGGGAAGAGTTCAAATGAAAAGTGGTCTTCCCGTGCAAAGTGAAAAGTTTTCACTTTTTCATGTTTCGCTTATACTTTTTGTTGTTTGCGTTGCACTTTTTGGCCATTTTGATTTTGGCCAAATTCGGCCAAAATGACGGTGGCAGTTTTGTAAATAAACCAATTTTTTTGAGCTATCGCGAAAAAGTGCAACGAAAACATGAAAAAGTGCAAGCGAAACATGAAAAAGTGTAAACTTTTCACTTTGCACGTTAAGACCTCTTTTTATTTGAACCATCCCCTATATATATATATATATATATATATATATATATATATATATATATATATATATGTATGTATGTATGTATATATATATTTAGATAAGAGATCAAATACAAACCATGCTTAAAATACTAACCTACAAACTCCATAATATGCATCGCTTTGAACTTCAATATGCAGTAAAAATAATGTAAAGATACAGGGGTGAGATCACATACAAACTAGTCATCTCATTCAAATCATTTTTGCATTATTTGTATTGCACATTGAAGTTCAAAGTGTTTCATATTATTCATGTCATAAAATAGCAATTTCATGTTTACATTATTTATATTGCATATTGAAATTCAAAGAGTGCATCTTTACATTATTTGTACTGCATATTAAAGTTCAAAGTGTTGCATATTATTGAGTTTGTAGGTTAGTAAGTTAAACATGGTTTGTATGTGATCTCACCTATATATATATATATATATATATATATATATATATATATATATATATATAGGGGCAAGATCCCATACAAACCAAGCTTCCAGTGCAAACTACAAACTAACGACATCCGTTAGATTGGCTAAAACGGACCGCTGATACGTATGGGCTGCATTGTTTAAACTGTGCACTGAGATGCAGGGGATGAAACAAATTCCACGGTTTGAAATGTTTACGCATTTAAAAAGGTCACAAAGGTAATTTTAGATTTCCAAAACAAAACCGCCGAAATCAAAATTGGGATTAACTTTAGAAATCCCTAACTTTACGGTTAATATCCACTAAGAAGGTAACTGGCCACGAATACCAACGTGAATAAAGGTAAGTTGCAGAACATACAAACAGAGGAAGCATCTCGGTCGAAGACTGGAGCAAGTTGTTCGAAGCCTGGAGAAAGGTTTTCGAAGATTTTTAAGTGACGTTGAGTGCAGTGAAGGCTTGGTGTTTGATGAAGGTAGTCATTTTCATCCCTCCGTTATATCAATACAAATGCAAATGGAGCTTGATGATCATTAATACAATTATCAGACAAAAGAACTGCAAATGTTTAATACAAAACATGCAAAATTGTGAAATGTAGATGCATTATTGTGATTTAAAAAATGAACAAACCTATTTGGTTTAATTATAGTCACATTAGAGTTGAAACAAGTTTCTTTGCAGCACGTGTAGTTGTAAGATGCATTTGTTGTGCAAAATGCACTTGGAATGTAACAAGGATGTGTGATGCATTTGTATTAGAGTGAAGATGCAGATGTTTAATTTCTGAGATGCAAAATTGTAATGAAAATGTCTTGTGTTTGTGTGTCATGTGTATGCATGATTGTGTGATACAAGATGCATTTAAAGTTAATTGAAAATGAAAGTGTGATAACAGCAATGCATAGTATTGGATCAATGTTGAGAGAAGTTAGGTGCAACATGTTGAGTTGTAAGATGCACTAGTTGTGGTTATTGTAGTTGGAATGCGAAACAATTTGATGATGCATAAGTATTATGTTTAAATTGCAAAATTTTAAGAAATGAGATGCACTATTTTGATATATATGAGTTAGTGATGTGGTTGCATAATTTTATAGTACAAGATGCATTTACAGTTAAGTGAAAATGAAAGTGTGATAACAGTGTGATGCATAGTATTGGTTCAATATTGATAGAAGTTAGGTGCAACATATGGAGTTGTAAGATGCAATAGTTGTCCTTAATTCAGTTTGATACAAAACAATTTAATGATGCATAAATATTATGTGTAAGATGCATTAGTTTAAGAAATGAGATGCATTGTGTTGATGAATATGACTTATGCTTGTGATTCACGTGGATGCATAATTTTATGGTACAAGATGCATTTAACCAAGCCAAGTGTTGCAGGTCTCATAACAGTTAGATTAGTACTTGTGCTTATGAGTTAGGTAGTACTGTAAAATTTTGATTGAAAGTCAAAGTGTATATGCTCACATTGAACCTTATTCATATTGTGATTTTTGTATGTGACTAGTACAAGTAAGCTAAACAATGGCATGCACATATAATACAAAATGAAGAAGAGAATCAAGTGATATGAACAAAAAGAAAACAAGAAGGTGCATTGACAAGCAATGTGCAACAGAACAAAAAGGGCAAAGGAAAGAGGAAAAAATGCAAATGTTAAAAACTAACTTTTGACATATAAGATTCATTTAAAATTGTGAAAATCTAATTTGAATTCTTGTCATTACATTAGGAAGAGACGCTCCTGTGATGAATATGCAGCATGATGAGCGCAGAGAAATGAATTGAAAGGCAAAGGCAGGAAAACAAATTCAAGTTTAATTTGTTATGAACTTTAATATCATAGATTCCATACAGGTGTTGAGATCTTTACAAAAGATATTTTGTCATGTATAATATGACATTGACAATTGTAATATGCAATACAAAACATATAAAAATGCAACATTGTGAAGTATAAGATGATATTAGCAGTTATATGCCCTTGTTATAGAATGATGCATAAACAAATATTCATTAATGCAGTACTTGTCATAGAATGATGCATAAATGAATATTCAATGATGCAAATGGTAAAGCAGGGACCGATAAAGCCAAACAATAACAAAAAATTGAAAATAGATACTACAAAATTAAAATACAAAACCATTAATATAAAACTATATTAATTTCCAACGTACAGTTTGTACGTATTAGCAATGTCAAACAACATCAATAACAAACGTAAACTTTAACTTAAAGCAAGCCTATTTATTCAAAGGCAATTCCCACTACCGTGATGCGCCATCTCATTGCATGATTTACAAAGTCTTTTGGGGCGTTGAGATTCTTCAATTGAAACTTCCTTGGAAGACGTCATCCTACGTCCAGAACTCTTATTTTTGCCTTCTGTGGAGGGTGCACAGTCACTTCGAACGACACACAACAACCACAAAATGATTCAATTAATGACTTGTTTGTTGAATCGTGACCAACACCTTTATGTACAAAAAGGAAAAACTCCTTTTGGTCTTTAATTATACCTGAAAACTGCTTCAAGTAGCTGGGATTATTTTCAACAAAGGCCATACAGGCATATATGTGAGACCATAGTGTTAACAGAGATCTTATTCTACCTTAAAAAACAAAGATCTTATTCTCCTCCATCAATAAAGTCTGCTCAAATATGGAATCAGAAATTGAAGTCAATGGCTTCACTAAACCCTTTTTGCACTATCTGCTATTAACCAAATATCAATCCAACAACTGGTTTCTTTTCGGGTGAACATTCAGGGATCCAATACTTTGAACCCCCAGGAGAAATTTGAAAACCACAATTCGGATCTATATAAACAACAAACGATCTATGATATTAAACATGAACAAAAACTAATATTAAAAAACAATAAAAATATTAGTTCACTAAATGCACCATACAACACAAACAAATGCATAATACATATTTTACCTTACAGAAGACAAAAATGGAAAACAAACAGAATTTCAACAAATATTAAAATAATTATGTAATCTCTTTACGGTAATGAAGCTGCAGTTCGGTTTCATTCATAATTCATATACAATAGAGCACACATAAGGAAAACATACATACAAAGTGAAAAAGGTAACATTATCAACATTTAATTATGAAATCTGTTAGTGAGAAGATACATGATAAAATTGACCTGAATTGCGAATCAATTGCACGACCTGGACACACGAACAGAACATACGATCAACATCTAAAGTTTTGTGTGTGTGTATAAAACAGAGTTCATGAAAAATATATGAGTACCTGATTCCATGGCGTTCTATGTTAATGACGAGAGATGATTAACTGTAGCAAATCATAATCCACGATGAAGAAGACAAGCGCAGAGATGAAATCCATGATCGGTCGGAAAGATGGAATGAGAGAATAAACAGAAAGAAAACGGTTATGAGAATGGAAAGTAACCAACGTAATTTGTGTTCCATTATAGAAGTGGATTAATTGACTAAAACACCCTCAATTTTAATTAGTTGGCTGTGAACAGTTAACATAGATACGAACGGTGATCTGCACTAAATGAATGGCTAGGATTAGTTTGTAGGTTAGTAAATTAAATATAGTTTGTATTTGATCTCTAATATATATATATATATATATATATATATATCCTTTCTTTCTTAATACAACTTCATGTACAAAATGTTAAAGCTTCCCACCCAAACGCATGCATATATCCATCACCATCTTTTTTGGCTTGTGCCTTTTTGTGTGAAAATCATACACAAACATAAACTTAAAAGTGAACATTTCACATTTTACACGCTAAACTCCTTTCTTATTTGAATTGCCCTGATATATATGGGTGCAATATAAAGTACTCTTAATATACAAAATGTGAACGACTCCACTTTTGAGCATCTAATTAAGTTGCACATTGCATTGAGAAATTTTTCGCCATTTAACTTTTGATCATTTATAATAGCACGCAGGAAGTTCACTTTTCGCAATGAATAATTCTTCTGATTTAATTACGAAAATATCACCTTGTTTTTCATCCACTTTAATGAATTTTCGGAAAGACTATTTGTATTTGATACTAAATCTATATAAACTGGAGCATCGAATTTAGGATCTAATGGCTCTAAACATGTCAAAAATGCATTAAAGTGGATGAAAAATGTGGTGGCATTTTCGTAAATAAATCAATGTTTTTCTTCATTGCAAAAAGTGGACTTTCAATGTGCAATAGTGTACCGTAAAGGACCAAAAGTGGATGTCGGAGAATTTATCAATGCAATAGTGCAATTCAAAAGCACAAAAGTGGAGGCGTTCACATTTTTTATTTTAAGAGTATTTTCATTGGAACCGAACCATATATATATATGTGTGTGTGTGTGTGTGTGTGTATATATATATATATATATATATATATATATATATAATATATATATATATATATATATATATATATATAATATCCTCCGTTCCGTTTTAATCGCAACATGTTGAATTTTACACTATTCACATGCTTTACTTTGACTACATTTTACGCTATTATTTTATGAAAATTATTTTTTAAAAACAATATTGTTCAATTTATCTCATTACAAATTTTCAAAATCTGATTTTTAATATTTTTTTTACTAATATTAAAAATTTAGTAAATCTGATTTTTTTACAAATTTACTAGTAGTGTCCTCGTCAGGAATTCCTGACCGGAAGCGCCGTCCGGACGACGTCATTTGGGGCCCTTCCCGATGACATTTTCTGATGACATTTTTATGACATGTTCTTCATCAAATCTAGTTTATCCACAAAAAAATCAGCTAAAAACTCAATAAAAAAATGCGGTGAGACTTTGGTAAATAAGTCAAACTTTTATGTTAATGCGAAAAAATGCAATGTAGAAACCTAATAGTGCATCACATTGTGAAAAAAGTGAATGGTTGTAGTTTTCACGGGAAGCAAGAATGATTTTTATTTGATCCGCACCATGTGTGTATGTGTATGTTATATACAGAGTATATAAGGTCCGGTTCGAGTGACAACACTCCTTCACGTGAAAAATGAGAGCGATGCTGAATGTTGCACATTATAATTCACAGAGGTACACAATAATTCCTGTCCGGCCAGGCCGGATAGGACCTTGGTCCGGCCACCTCAAATTGAGGCGGTTCCCGGTTGTATTTTTGCTGGATTGCTTTTGTTACTTTTACTTTACCAGATAGCTTTTGTTATGTAGGTTAAATTGTTACCAAATTAAACAAGGAATGCTTCTTTGTTATATGGTCCCCATTTAAACAAAGAACGATGTGGTTGCATTAAGGGCTTCTCTTTGAATAAAAGTTAACTAGTGGGCGTAGCTCAACTGGTAGCAAGGGAATGCCACAAGGGTTAGGTCCCGAGTTCAAATCCCGGCAACTGCGATTATAATTGGTAATATTATTACTTTTACTTTACTAGATAGCTTTTGTTATGTAGGTTAAATTGCTACCAAATTAAACAAGGAATGATGCTTTGTTATATGGTCCTCATTTAAACAAAGAACTATGTGGTTGCATTAAGGGCTTATCTTCGAATAAAAGTTAACTAGTGGGCGTAGCTCAACTGATAGCAAGGGAGTGCCACAAGGGTTAGGTCTCGAGTTTGAATCCCGGCAACTGCGATAAGAGGTTACTATGCTAAAAATGCGTAGGGTCTCTGCAAATATCAGGGACAGAGCCACACTTTCTTTCTGTCTGATTGTGATTATAGTCTAATTTACATTCTCCCAACTTACCGTCTGGTCGAAGTTGGGAAGCCCTCATGGATGAGGTACCATCCGGTTTAAGTTGGGCTGATCTAGATCCGAGACAAGGCCAAATTAAAAAACAATCAAATTAGATGAGACTAGACTCTTATAGATTTGATCAAATCAGACTATATTTGAACAATAGTAAAAAAATCGGACCAAATATAAATAGACCAAATTGGAATAATTTTGTTTTTCAAAACTTTACATATTTTATATAATAATATTAGTGTCAGGCCGTATACTCATAGCATCGTATGTCAAGCTTCTATCAACTACTCCGTAACATTTTTATTTTAAAGAATCGAAAAGGACATATTAGTCATCCTAAGGTTACATCAAGTAATAACAGGGTGCGCCTAGCAACCCCTGAAGAAATAGTACAATAATGTTAGGGTTTCGGCCATTTTTGTTTACCCTATATATTACATGTGTCAAAAGATGTAAATCTGAGTTATTAGATTACAGCAATCCTTCCATTCACTTGTTACATTGTACGCACCTGTCCAACTTCAAAGTAACCAATACTTTCAATTTTGTATTGAATTGATATCAATTCTTCAATCTGTATCACTTTTTACCAATACTTATATGAATGTATTACCCATATGCATTTAATACCAAATATTTTAGAATATTTTAATATGTAATAACATGTTATCATATACGTAGTATGTTTCAATGAAAATATGGAACTTTACATTGTCATGTGTCAACTGTGTGTATTAAAAGGTATTTAATTTTTAAAAATATTTTTTGGAGTATTTCTCAACCGGCAAAATTGATATGAATTAGTAGTCTAATAGAAGATTGTGGGCTATTTCAGATTGATCTTTTAGGCACATACTTCTGTGCGTGCAAATTTTGGCCCTCCTAAACCATAACGTGTGACAAAACCTATAGGCTGTCTGTTTTGTTACGAGTTATTCTGTCCCAAAGTTCGTGTCAAAATAGCGACGGACGTTTACAATATCTAAATCAAAGTTTTTTAACAGTCTAGACTCTAGATAGGTGAATATGTAGTTGTTATAACGTTGGAGCAGCCTATGGTCAGCATAGTACTCCCACGTGTGAACATTTTTTTGGTTTCAATAGCAGAATGTTGTAACTCGTGCGTAAAGTAATGTAATTCATGCTGATGAGAAATGTAACTCTAGGTTAGTCCAAAAGGAAATAAAAC